TCTTATGTGGATATTTTGATGACTTCTCAGTATATCCATCTACTTTTTCTTATTTTACATCGACCTATAAACCTTATAATATGAGAATCATTATTGAGCAAAATACTTATTCAAAATTAATACTTTTCAACTTAGAGATCAAGTCGTAGAAGCCGGTTTTTCTTCTTCCACCATTGGACTAGCTTATGCTTGTCTTTCATATTCCTCCATAGGACTGGCAGATGCTAGTCTTTCCTCTTTTTCCATAAGACTAGCTGATGCCGGTCTTTTCTTATCTTTAAAAAGGCTGGTAGTTCGTGGTCATCCTCTACATCAATAGAATGCTGGTGTTTCGTGTTCTTTTGTACCACTGGTAAAGGTTTGTCTAACATGACAGCCATGTGATGAGTTTTCCTCGTTTTCAGTAGGACTAGCAGAAGCCCTTTCAATCCCTAAATAACCTTCCATCCCCACCACTTTCTTGTGAAGATCTTCATAAGACTTGTATGCCATGTCAATTCTCTGACTGAATGACATTTTTTTCTTCTTTTATTCTTATCCCCATCATGCTAAATTGTTGAATTCATAGCACACTCAATTCTACCTTGTTTTCTCTATGAATCTTCAATCCATCCTTGAATCCAATCATTCTTACTCATCCTACTCTTGATTACAAGATCAAAAAGGTAAAAAAAAGTTCTTATTTTCAGGATTCTTTGGTAGAACCAAATGGTCATATTCCTGATAGTCACCAATTATAGAGTTCACTTAAACTTGCACAAATAAATAGAATACAATTATAGAAAATAAACTTTTTGTGATAATCCCTTAAATATTTAACATGGTTTTTAAAGGTTTACAAGTTTTTTTTAAAGATGTAGAAAATTCCCATGCTCTTATATTTAACAAAACAAGAAGTCGTAATTACAAAAATTTAACTTGTCACCTTCCTCAATCCATGTTTTATCTTTCTGAGTTGGAGACTTCGTGGATATCCATTGTAAAGTTAAAGGCATATTTCCAATTGAAGCCACATCCCTTTGGCCAAACTTTTTCTCCATCTTCCCAACTAAGGATAATGCCCATATAAACCAATTAGGCCCTTGACAACTAATTCCCAACTGATAATGCCCATATAAACCAATTATAGCGTGAAAAATTGATTCATTCACGTTTCACAAACTCTATAATAGGCCCCAACAATGATTGATTCAATATCTTGATTTCATTAGGCTCTAGAGCTTTCTCCACAAACTTCAGGACAATTTTTGAAGAAGCCATTTCAGGCATATTTCCATTTGAATTCAAATCCGTTTGGCCAAACTTTTTCCCCAACTGCCCAACTGAGGATAATGCTCATATATGGATGACAAACATAAATCCATTTAAACCAATTAGGCCCTTGACAACTGATTAATTCCCAAAAGGTTCACACTATTTACAAAATAAATGTAAACAGTTCGCCCCCGAAGATACTTGCAAATTTTTTGAAAATTAAAAATTAGTACCCCTTTTTAGATTATTTATAGGTATCTTGTTAACTAGATTTCGAGCAAGCAATATACTCTACACTAGTAATAGTGCCCTAATTATTCCTCTCTTCATGTTCGATCTTTTTTTATTGTTTTTTCAAAACATCACTTAGGGCTTTGAAAGACATCTTATCTTTCAACCGCTTATCTTCTTTGTTTATTTCGCTTCACTTTTAGACATTTTTGTGATGCATAATCAAACGGAAGTCCGATTGTTATGATAAACTCTCTAAGAGAGATACGTATATGTTGTTCAGCAAAAACAACCCATAATTTTTCATTGTAGGACTGTATTCTTCTTTAGAGTAGATGATGATTATATAGCGTGAAAATTTTGATTCCTTCACGTTCCACAAACTCAATAATAAGCCCCAACAATGATTGTTTCAATATCTTGAATTTATTAGGCTCTTAAGCTTTCTCCACAAACTTCAGGATAGTTTTCTCAGAAGAAATTCAAGGCATATTTCCATTTGAAGTCACATCCTTTTGGCCAAACGTTTTCCCCAACTGAGGATAATGGCCATATATGGATGGCAAATATAAATCCATTCAAACCAAATAAGCCCTTGACAACTGATCTATTCCCAACTGTAGATTCTGTGTAGGTATCTTGTTAACTGGATTTCGAGCAAGCAATATACCCTTCACTACTAACATTTCTCATAATCTAATTCTTTCCTCTGGTTCCATCTTTTTATTGTTTTTCCAAAATATCACTTAGGATTTTGAAAGACATCTTATCTTTCATCCACTTTTCTTCTTTGTTTTTACTCTTCAAATTTAGATTTTAGACATTTTTCTGATGCATCATCAAATGGAAGTCCAGTTGTTATGATAAAATCTCTAAGAGAGAAACACATAGGTTGTTCAGCAAAAACAAACCATGATTTTTCATTGCAGGACTGTATCCTTCTTTGGAGTAGATGAGGAACTATATGGCATTAAAAATTGATTCCTTCACGTCCCACAAACTCTATAATAGGTCCGAGAATGATTGCTTCAATATCTTGAATTTATTAGGGCAACCACAAGGGCATTACCCCAAACATGGTTCTTAGTGTATTTATAATATATTAATAATGTAATAGTGTTTTATAAGAACCAAATAAAATGTTGTAGTTATTGGTTAAACCTGTAGGTTCTTAAATTTATATTAATTTAATAATGAAATTTAATATAATAATTATAAAAATGAAAAAAAAATTAAAAAATAATACCAAATAAAAAACAATAAAGATAAAAATTAAAAACATAAAAGATACAAACATCAAAATTAAAAACATAAACTTCAAAAGATAAAAACATAAAAATGTGCTTGTTTATCACGTATTTTTCAATCAAATCTTCTTTTAATTGGTGATGTGCTTGTTTATCACGTATTTTTCTTCGACGATCACCTATACCATCGAGATTTGTAGCCATATTGTTCGAAAACGTAAGATCCGAAGCTTCTCAAGCTGAACAACCTTTTCTTCAGTTTTCCTCTCTTGTTCTCTGTGCTTTTCAAGGTCCAATGCATAGACTCTTGTCCTCTCTCTCATTTCTTCCATCACAGCCACAATTGAATGATACATGTATACACAACAATGATACAGCAATGATACATGTATACACAGCAATGATACAGAAATGATACATGTGAATGATACATATATACACAGCAATGATACATGTCAACTAGACAGAGAAATTATACAAGTATGAAAAACATTTGTGACAAACTATCTCAGGCATAAACAGAAATGAGACAATTATAACAAACTAGCACCATTCATCATTAAACCGGATTCATACATTGTCACAAACTATCTCAGGCATAAACAGAAATGAGACAAGTAATACACAGCAATGACAACTTCATAGTTAGAGAGAGCACACACAGTAATAGAACACACACAGTAATAGAACACACACAAATGACACTACTTAGACCTGAATTCATAGTTAAACAGACATGATTCATTACAACTTAATACACAACTTAGAAGAGTTGAGCCATGAGCTTCTTCTTGAGGGCAAGTTCATCTTCATCAAGAGGAACTGTCTTCGCAATGAGGGTTTCGAGAAGGCTCATCATTTGTAGTACTTTCTTGGCCTCCATATCCTTCTGTTTGTTTTCCCAAAGCTCCGGATACTCTCCAGTGGCTGGCTCCTTCTCTTTGCCGTTGAACCTTCTTGCTTTCATAGCCTTCACACCCGGTGCCCTAGTCTCTTGTTCATTACCAACTGAGGATGAAGAAGGTGCAGCTACCTCAGCCTTTCTTTTTTTGCTGGATGTTTTGCTTGTAGGATTCATTAACCCTAAAGAGCACCATTTTTGTTCATGCTTGAGCTCAACCCACGCATGCTCAAGTGTAAATTTCTTCCCATAAAGAGTCATGTAAATTTGATGTGCATTCTTCAAAACATCAACATCATTATGTCCGGATGCTTTCTCACCCTCTGCATAAGCATATGCTCCACATAAATGAGACACCTCTTTACTGATTCTTCCCCATCTTTGTTTGCAATGGTCAGGCAGCCTGGCTTCTCCTCCATTCACAACATGATCACTGGCACCATAGTAATCTGAAATTCTTTTCCAGAATATCCTTGACCTTTGATCGTTCCCAACAATCACATCCTTGGATGTGTTTAACCATCCGCTTATCAAGACAAGATCATCTATGTTGTTCCATTGCCTTCTCTCCCTAGTACAAGTTGGTGTGCCTTGAGATTGACTTGGAGGTTGAAGAGGATGCTGGTTAAAAGAAGGGTTATGGTCTCCTTGAGATGCTCCTCCATGACTCTGTTGCTGGTTGATACCAGGGCACTGGCTACCTTGAGAGGGTGGAGCTTGAGTTTGTTGGTGGTTAAAAGAAGGGTTTTGGGTGCCTTGTGGAGATCCAAAGTTGAGATTTTGGGAAAAGCTATCATAAGGAAAGTTATTAAGGCTAAAGTAACCGGGAGCACCACCATATGGATTATTATTTAATGATGGTAGAACACAGATGCTAAGACAGAGATGGTAGAAGAGATATGGTACAAGAGCAACAACCATAATAGAAGTGAATGATAGATGCTACCAGAGATATGAAACAAGGGAACGAGAAGAGATATGATAGAAGGGAAAGAAGAGATACATTATAGAAGGGAAAGACCAGAGAGATGATAGAAGGGAAAGAAGAGAGACATTATAGAAGGGAAAGACCATGAAGATGATAGAGGGGAAAGAATAAAGAGGATCATCACGCAAAGGGAAAAAGGGAGATGGAAGATGATAATTGATAACAGCACATTAAGAGTTATTACAAAGCAAATAGCTCACCTACTTCAATCAAATCACAATGAACTCTCAAAAACATAATAGTACTCTTATTAAGTATACATGGTTTCTAGTTCTGAAAAGAACCTAAACATGTTATTACATTTACATGTAAATGTAAATACTAATCTTGTAGTCACAAGATCAGAGAATCAAAGCAAGAGAATGTAACCGTATTCATTCTTTTAAAGCCATGAACTTATAATAACATTGTAAGGTACTAGACATAGCAATAAAGGTAGTAGACAGAGCTAACACTTAATGTTTTTTACATGCTAGTTCTCAAACGGATTCATTTAAAGCAAGAGAATGTATAATTATAAGCTAGTAGACAGAGCATGAACTTAATGTTTTTAACATTCAGCATCTGAATCTTCTTTCAGTATTGGTACTAGAGTTCTTAACAAATACAGAAGCTGCCTTCTGCCCAAAAATGTTCAAGCACTAATATGTTGTCGCAATTAGTTAAAGAGCTTTGAATCTTATGAACGAGGTAAGCACATTATTTTATATACGTTTTAAAAGCATATGTTGTGTATTAAGATTTTTATTTTGTTATATATGCAGAAGAAGATGAAGTATATGATGGTGAAGATGAGACACAAGCTTTTAACCAATCGAATGTGGATGATGAAGAATGAGATTGAGTTTGAGTTCAGTTTTAAAGTTTACAATAAGTTGCAGTTCGAGTTGAGTTAAGTTGCAGGTTTTAAGATTCAGTTTGAGTTCAGTTTAAGGATTGGTGAGTTGCAGGTTTTAAGATTGGGTTTGAGTTATGTTCAGTTCAGTTTAAGACTTCAAGTTGTAGGTTTTTTATTATGAGTTCAGTTGCAGATTGAGTTTGAGTTCAGTTTAAGTACTTGCAGGTTTTTTTTTCATTTGAGTTCAGTTTACGATTGCATCTGTTTTGGATTTGAGTTCATTTATCAATATTTCAGTTTTATATTTGAATTCATAATCGGATTAGCTATTCATAAAGTTTAAGTTTCAGATTTGAGTTTTAGTTTCAATGTTTATTGTCTAAATCACAGTTCACAAATTTTAAGTTTCAATTTCAACAAAGTTTGTCTAAATCACAAAGTATTAGTAGTTTCCGTGTATTAAAGGATACATAAATAACTAAGCTACTCTTTTCTTCATCTTATTTTGATGATTCAGTTATTGTTTTTTTTGAACATTTATAAGATTCATTCACTCACTACTTCAAGAAATCAGAGAATAATTAGACTTTACTAATGCCTAATACAACCTTTTGTGGACTAAAATAACACACCTACACATTCAACTTCAATACAAAGCAAAAATGAGAAAAGCAAAACTCAATACGTAATACCCGCGGGTATACCCGTTTACTCGCTGGACTTTACGGGCGGACCTGGACATATATATTTTAACCGCGGTCTTAAACGGGCTGTCCACAGCGGTCCTGAAAAAAAAAGCCCGTAGCAGGGAGAGCTACATGTACGCGGGTCCATTATATGTTTCTTTTTCTCCATCTACTTCTTTCCTGCAACCTCAGTAGATGGAACATCCCATTGTGTCTCATCAACACGTCCCAGGAAGATGTCATGTAGATGATTGTTAAGCAGTTTGTTTGACTTTGAGGATTCCCCATAGACAGCTATCTCATCAGGCCAGAAAGGGAATATATCATCTTCTGCTCGCCAAGAGACATGACCAGCTACAATCTACATGAAATAAAAGTCTATCAGTACCAAATAGCAGTTGGAAATTAAAACAAATGAACTTTGTCAAAACAGAAACTATCACCTTTTTCTTCACAAGTCTCTCTGTGGTAAAGAATTCCGCAACATCAATTCTTGGGCGTCGCCTAG